GCAGCATTTGTTCAACACAAGCAACCTCTGGACCAGTTTTGACATACAGTGTCTCATGATCCCATCAGCGTTTATTTTCCGGTATGGCTGTGACCTTGCTAAGACGAATGCCCATGCTGTGCTGGGGAATACCCTCAGAGGTACAGCAGCTGTAAGGGAGTACAATACAACCAGAGCCGGATTATCTTAGTTGCAAAAGTAGCTACATATGCTACGGGCCCCGCACTTTCAAGGGCCCCACGCTAAATACTTTCAAGCTATCAATTCCGGTGCAGTGATTCTGCACTTGCTCTATTACTATAGTGATATACTGCCTTCAACTTTTATGAACGACTGGGTGTCTAAGGTTAGCGATTTGTCGTATTATCTGGCTGTATAGCAAACGACAAAATACAGTTACTTTACTAAGAAAGTAAAACATTTGTGTTTTAATGTTTACGTGTTTTTATTTTATTTACGGCCCCTTTATAACATCACTTGCTACAGGCCCCGCACTAGCTTCATCCCGCACTAAATACAACGCAGCGTGATCGGCATATTCGCCTTGAACAGGGAACCGCCCACACCCCATGCAGTATTTGTGCATCTGTGTAACGTGTCATATTCTATATATATTCACATATCCGCTATTTTTTCAATATATGCCTATACCTGAGTCCCCAGCGAGTTTGATATTTGACATTGTACTGGCCCCATGGTGGATAGTGTACGTGTTTGCTAGAATAAAGATCTCCCTAATGGCCTTATGGGAAAGTGATGTTCGTCAGCATTTACTCCAACGTATGTAACCTGCGATTTCCCCAAAACAAATGCAGTGCCGTTTTTACGATTGTTCCTATAATATTTTAATGTTTCAACATTCTGGTAAATCCATCCCAATTAATCAAACTCTATATATAGGTGACATATCAGTCAATTCTAAAATGCTATGCATTGCTCCATATGAATGTTTAATCTGTACATTTTTATTGCGTTCTCCACCCGATTAATGTTTGCTCTTCTCAAATACAGCAATGTGAGTTTATGCTCTCAACAGCTGACTAAGTGCAGATGTCCATTGTTGTTACTTTATGTGCTTAACCTTGGGGAGAATAATGTAACTGTTTGGTCTAAGTTCTTCATTTACTGCTCGTCAATGTTATCATTTAATCTGTAATCCTTTTAATACTTACACACATCACACAATAAGCAATGTCGTATCTACAGTTCCTTGTTAAGAGTGTGGTTTTTGTCATCATGAACCAGCCCAAACTATCATCACTAGGTTTTCAAGCAGAATAGGATAATTATGATCTATTCTTGCATATGGCAATATGTTAAAGAGCTAAATGCGAATGTCGAGGTCTGCTAGCCACGGTGAGAGGGCTTCAGCAGAGTTCGTGGCGTTTTGCTGTTCATCCTCCGTTGAGGGTGCGCATACTTATAGTGGCGTACTATATGTCCCATAGTCTGGGTTGAAAGACGACAATCGCACTGTCTCTATGGGTCTCTACGAATCTCTGTGCCTCTATGGGTTTACGATATGGTTAATAGTTTGGGTCACATGGTTGTAATCGCACCAGAGGCTTTCCTCTGATTTCCCATGAATGAAGGCGATGTGCGTATCGGTCTGTGGGCATTCTGATGCAGCTGGTGGCGGGTGCGCCATGTTCACGCTTCCAATGCGTCTGTGGACACGTCCACGTTGCGTAAGTTCACGGCCTCTTGTTGGCTGGCACTCAGAATCAGAGTATATTTATACTGGAGGAATCCGGTATAAGGGTGCAGTATTTCTGCATCCTATCGATGTTTTTGTACAAACCTCGGAATATATAACAGGACTTATGTAAGCCAAACACTCTGGCGATTGCATGGAAACCCGATGAGCGTTATCGGCACATGATTAGACAGCCCAGCGCCCCAGCTGCGAGCGGTCTCGGCCGTGCAAAGGCGACCCCTCTGAACTCTGGGCCACCTGGGGGAGGAGTCGGCTTGCTCACGTAGTTGTTGTTTATGTACATGGTGTAAGTTGACGTCTACCTGGGACCCCAGAGCTTAACGGGGCATCTGGAAGCAGTCCGCCAGCATCGGTTCAAGAAAGCCCGACTTTCGCTGATGAGAGGCTGACTGTAAAAATCAGGTAGCAGGAGGCCGTCTAACTTAAATGATGTGTAAAAACAATCGTCGTATGTATGTGGAGGGGCAGACGTGTGGTGAAGGAGTCGTCGTGTAGCGTGCCCGTGTGTGTGCGGGCTCGTTGGCGATGCCACCTCCCTACGCAAGATGGCTGCGCGCGCGACTTACTCGCAACTCTGTGACCCGCGATTGGCCCAGAGCTCGTCACGTGGGCAGAGTGGGCGGATCCCCGTGAGCGTGCCGCCGCTCAGGGACACCACCTCCGGCTGGAGTGGGAAGTGCAGCGGTGCAGTGGCAGTGGTGTCAGTGGTGCAGTGGCCGTGGTGCCAGTGGTGCAGTGGCAATGCCAGCCGTGCAGTGGCCGTGGTGCCAGTAATGTCAGCCGTGCAGTGGTTGCGGTGCCAGTGATGCATTGGCAATGCCAGCCGTGCAGTGGCCGTGGTGCCAGTGATGCAGTGGCAATGCCAGCTGTGCAGTGGCCGTGGTGCCAGTAATGTCAGCCGTGCAGTGGTCGCGGTGCCAGTGATGCATTGGCAATGCCAGCCGTGCAGTGGCCGTGGTGCCAGTGATGCAGTGGCAATGCCAGCTGTGCAGTGGCCGTGGTGCCAGTAATGTCAGCCGTGCAGTGGTCGCGGTGCCAGTGATGCATTGGCAATGCCAGCCGTGCAGTGGCCGTGGTGCCAGTGATGCAGTGGCAATGCCAGCTGTGCAGTGGCCGTGGTGCCAGTAATGTCAGCCGTGCAGTGGTCGCGGTGCCAGTGATGCATTGGCAATGCCAGCCGTGCAGTGGCCGTGGTGCCAGTGGTGTGACTGGCAGTGCCAGTTGTGCACAGTCACACACAGCTCGACTCTTAGCGCGTCCCGCGACAATAACAACACCGCTGTGTGTGGCCTTAAAAGGGACATTATATAATAGGCGACGGTTTGGGCAATTTTCTTATTCATACGAGTTGGAGATTGCTCGTGTTTACCCCATACGGCATGAGGATAAATACATTTAAAACATGTTCCTTATGGAATTTATTCTATTTTATGTGCTATGACGAAGGGTTATTTCACAGAACGTCGCCTGTTAAATGCATTTTTTTCTGAAAAACCACATTATTATGAACAAATGTGTTGACTTTTTTTCTTGGCATATGAATAGTTTATCCATTATTGGCCATTGAATAACGCTCTCTTCAGTCATCATTGAACCAATCGACTTGGAGAAAGTGCTGTCTGACGAACGGTCATTGCCCAAAACGTCGCCTATCATTTTTCACGTTAAGGCTATTGTTATTAACGAATGTGTTGCATTTTCATTTAATAATAGAGTCTGGTTACATATTCACTCCGGCCATTCGTCTTAGCAAATTGAATTCGACAAAAATGGGAGTGAATCTATCTCGGTCATGCACATTCCTTGTAACGCCATCGTGATCGTAAGAATACATTTCAAAAGATCCGTTTAATGCGATTAATCTATGCACGGATACACTGGTTCCTCGCGGGCCCAGTTGAGTCAGCCTTGAGTGCTGCTTAAAGTGGGGGATTTGGGGTTTTACAGAACTGAAGGGTGGAGATTTAAGTAACAAAATAAATGACTGTACAATATGCATCCCCTCACACGCCTGTTCCTCCACATCTAAAATGAAAGTATTTAGTACACCTCCCAAAAGTCACACAGCCTGATCTCTAGGAGTACACAATTTAAACAATTGAGAATAGGTTTTCCCCTTTATTCTGGCAACAAAACAGGTGTTAAAACACCAAACTGAAACCTTTTGGCGTCCTCTGGTCTAACACCTTTTGAGACTCGGCTCGAAAGAAAGCCGTCTCTGGTGTGGACCAATCCGTTTCAAAGACAATGCATATATTATCAGAGTTTTTTGTTTGCATTCTGACCACAAGTATTCTGGTTAATGCAGACAGGATTCCTTGTAAAAGTTTGCAGTTTGGTGTTTTAACATCTTAACAGCTGTTTTGTCGCCAGAATAAAGGGAAAAAGCTATTCTCATATTTTGGTGACTGGCAAAGGAAGTGCCATGATTAAACAGAATTGGTTCAACACAAGTAAACTTGACTGGCGAACTGCCATGCACATTGTCTACCATATTCTTTGGGTCTTTCGGTAAAGTCACGTAGATCGTCATCAGGAGTGATGACTATCGTGTTGTGATCGAAACGTCGTAGTTTATGGTTTATTTTATGATTATTTTTATTAATTTGACTCTACGTGACTTTACCGAAAGACCCAAAGAATATGAATTCCTGCAGTCACGAAAGCTTAAAGTCAAGATTTATATTGTTTACCAATTAATATTATTCTATATTCTCCACAACGACACTCATGACTATTTTGTGATGTGCATTATAGACCTTTCGTTGAATTAGCACCCAATGTCTGAAACAGAGAGATCCTTGTCTATAAATAACGCGGCATCTGGAAGTTGGTCACCAGCACAATTGGTTCGAGCAACCCGTACCGCTGGTCAGACAGAATCTTTATTTGGACTGGAGGAATCCGATGAGCTATGAAACTCTTTTTAACAGATGTCCAAGAGACACTGACCATTGAATCCGGTAGAGCATCATCTTGTCTTGTTAAACCAATGCTACATACACATGTTTGCACTCCTAGAACACCGGTGTGGCTGTTGGGATGTGTACAACGTGCTTGTACTGTATTACTAATGCGTGTAGGATTATTCTGTAAAAAATAGCTTTATAGTGCAGCGGATTCCTCCACTATAAATTCTGATTCATTTGTATATTCACGCGATCGAACCCCCCAAAAAAGCATGCATTATGGATGACATTGGTCGCGACAGCCACAAACTGATGTTCTGTCTGTGGATGTGATTGTAAGGGGCGTGGCCTTGCGGCGTGGGCGGGGCCTAGCGCGGCCACGTGACGCGCCCCTGGTTAAGATGGCGGAAGTGCAGGCGGGACGTGGAGGCAGCGCGGAGCCGCGGCGGCAGCAGCAGCAGGAAGAGGAGCGGCAGCAGCAGCCGCAGCAGCAGCAGTCGCTCTGAGCGGCGGCGGAGACGCGGGGATCCCTCGGCGAGACTGCGAGGAGACGCCAGTGCGGGAGGAGACGCGAGCAGGGGAGACTCGGCCTCCTTCTTCCCCGACCGAACACGATGAGCGCCCACGCCGCCGCCGCCTCCCGCCGCCGCCGCTCCCGCTGCCCGGGCCCGCGACCTTCCCCCCCGTACGAGTGACGCGCGGCCCGCGGTCACTTGGCTCGGCTTCATTTTATATTTCACTTGAGACGTGGCGGCTGCGTTGTCCAGTCCGTGTCGCTGGCGTTGAGCTCCGGGGGCTGCTCGCCTCTGACACCCACAGCCACCAGCAGCAGCACCGCCCTCCGGGGTTGGCTGTCCGCCGGGTTGGACTCCGGCTGCGGGCGGGAGGGAAGGGCCGAGAGAAGAGGAGTGGGAAGGAGAGGAGCTGTGAGAAGAGCGAGCCGGGAGGAGTGGGGGTCGACATGGACCTGAAGGCGAGCCAGACCCGGACGTACGACTCTGACGGCTTCGTGAAGCGCGCCGCTTGCCTGTGCTTCAGGAGCGAGGCGGAGGAGGAGGTACGTGTGTGTCCGTGTGTTGCTACTCTCACCACCAACAACCACCACGATACCGCCAGCGAATAGTGCTACCGCATTACTACGAACAATAGGCGTGAGCACACTCCTGGGGTAACATATCTTTTCAAGAAATGAACGAGTCGATACAGACGGTACAAGACGGCGCTATACGCCGTACACACGAGATGCTGCAATGCAGACGAAAGACTCCAGTCGAGGGGAGTACAAGCGAGGTAGTCCGAACAAATTGACGAGGCAGTCGAGACGAGTGGTGACGAGGCTTGCAGTGCAGGTACGACGGTGCGGCTGCAGTCCACGCACAGCCGTCCACGCGAGGCGTCTTGGTAGAGACGAGGGAGACACTGGAGACACGGGCGGTGGGGGGGGCCGTGCAGACGACGAGGCAGCAGATTCTTGACAATGGCAGGCGACTCGCCGCCTTTCCCGTGCTGCTGCTCTCTCTCTCTGCTCGTCAATACATCGCCTCGCGTGCTGCCTGCAGCCTCCAGACGTCTCGCGGCCTCGCTCCGATCCTCCCCGAGCGAGACGGAGCTTTCTTCCTCCCGGGTAGCCGGGTTCTAATCCCGCAGCAGGCTTGACGCCCGCCGCCGTGAGCTCCGTCTCCGTGCGAAATTGACGGTGGTCAACACTGGATGCCACTGGTCCATGCACGCCATGGGAATGTGGAATTGACACCGCTTGGTCAGCACCGTCAGCAAAGTTGAGCGCCGCCCCATACCGCATTTTGGGAACGGTATCTACTGAACTATCAATAAGCGGACGTTACAAATATTTTTACAGTAGGAAATTGTGTCTGTAAATATATTAATTTATATAACCAATTTACCAGCAATGCATTCGTACTGTGCTACATTGGCAATATACACATTCCCATAACGTATTCACCAATAGTGAATTGGTTTTCTGTCGGCCACATTAAAAATCTAAATACTGTATTTCAATTGGCGTAACGTATTCAACAAGATTAATCGTAGATTCGTTACGTTTCGTTTCTAGTAAAATAAATGATCCAGAAGGCCTCCATGGGTTCCCAATTTAGTACGAGGGGCAGCACCGCCTTCACAGGACAACGGGACCTGCTGGTTACCATGGTAACTAATTGGTTAGCATAATTATTTTGACCGAGTATAACTTAAATTTGCATTTGCAGAGACAAGCTATCGCTGGCATATATTGCCACATTCTTTAGGCTTATCGAGATGTTACTTTACTCTTTAGAGATAATTTTGGACCAAAATGCTACAGAGCGATACTTGGCATATACAACGATGCTATTTTCAGTCTCCATATGGTGGCGTAAATAATAATGCAGCAGATACAGTAAAGATACGTGCGAGTTGATAGGTTCGAATCCCAAACAAGGTCAAGTCTCATTGTATTGCACGTTCCTTGCAATCCATGGTGATGGTGACGTGAATACCACAAGGTGAGGCTGCACTTGTAACTGACGGGACATATGGCTGTGGTTCCGCGTGTGGGTATGGGGGCACTAGCTACAATAATAATTAGTTGCTCTTTTATATAGCGTCATTTAGGCTAATTGTATATCACAAGGCTGTACAGTAATTGTGTATTACTGTATTATAGTTTAGCATATCTTGTGATTTAGTTTATAATACATCGTATTTTAAGAGCTTAAGATGCACCTTTGTTTCGGCCCTTGACAATATCATGTATGTGCAGCATGTATATGTTTTACATCCTGCTGTTCTCAATGTTCTAATTTTCCACACTTTTGTGACCCTGAGAAACCCATCACCGCCCAACAAAGATGTGCACATTCAAGAAGAAACAATTTCCGTTTGGCATAATCCACATTTAGCCGTGACATGGGCACACAGTGCCGCTGCTCACGGTGTCAAGCGAACTTGCGCATTCACACAACTCTCACGGCTTTAATGACCTCGTCGTGCACGTGGGTGGCTGACCCTGAACTCAGCCGTTAAGTCCTTCACCGAGAGGTCGCCAAGCATGCCACATCACCAGCTGAAGCTGTGGGCTGCCGACTCTTAAGATATTTGCTGTGTACTTCTTCGGCTTGGCGAGCCCATCAAAAGCCACAGACTGCCTATCAGGCGAGGCAAAGAAACTGCGTTAGAAGGCGGAAGACTTGCAACGTTCGTAACACTCCCTTTTACTCCCCCCCCTTCTCCATAAACACAACAGTGCCGACAGTGAGACCCGCCAATGTGCATCGCCTGTCACCATTTGGAGCGCTGCGTCAGTGGCTGCTGTATGCTGTCTACCCACAGCTATCGCCCCACAGACATAAGCTGCGACTTCTAGTCCACATTGCATTGCTTTTGTGGTTATGAATCAAATGCTGCTCGCACTGGAGTGTATAGTAGTTGCATAATTCATGATGAAGTCACTCGTTCACACACTGTTTTCCAGCCTGTTTGATGGCACTTTAGGCTTTGGTGTCGGAAGGGTTGGGTGGAGGGTGGTTGGTCTAAAAAAAAGTCCCTTTCGGCTTCCAAGACGTTAACGCGCTCTCTGCCTTCTGCTGGTTTGTTTCGAGCCTTTTATTCCGTGATGAAGCGAGTTCCACATTGTTGCTGGCAGTTTCGTCACCGTCTGTAACTTACTGTTTCACCCGAGTCCTTGGCATGGCACTTGCAACACGGCAGCTTTGTAAATATAATGGTGTGCATATTTGTTCCGAGAAGCTCGTTATGTGGAACACCTGACAGACAATCCTTTATTTAAGAGCCTTGTCAAAAATACCTACAGCTTTCAAGGCCTGGGCAACAAAAATGCGGAGAATGTGATGCGATGCTGCCTGGTACAACACACAGGCTAAGTGTTTATAGAGAGGGTAAACAGCAAATATATACATGTGAATAATAGAACATTCATATTGGCTAATGGAGTAAATGTAGGTCATTGTCTCTATGATTTAATGTTATTTGGCAGCGCTCTCTCCATTGGCGGCTCTGAGGCAGTGCTGGAAGTTGTACATTCCGGTGGGCAGTTACCAGTTTCCCCATAGGGGGGTGACCTCTGTTGACTTCCCACGAAGTTGTGCTCGTTTTATTGAGCCCCCCCCCCTCAGCCACGACGGGCTGAGTTAACCCCAAATTTGCATTCGAGACCACCTGATTGTGAGTTGAACTTTCCAAGACAGTCATCCAGCCGGATTGCTGCAATAGCACGTTTAAGAGTTTTACTGCCACCTTTGTGAAACATGACGATTAAAATAGTTGTGAACCGTAACATTATTGATAATGTATAATACATGGAAACAAAAATAAATCGCAAGCTTGGTGATCTCATATCCTCCTTCCCGTTTATATATTGAAGCAAACAGGAAAGTGCAACCGTGAGTTTAACTGCACTGATTGTGTCAATGGGTTCAATGCTTCCTGAGGCATTGCACGTAAAACATGATGTCACCTCTTTTTCACACGAGCACTTTTAATTTGTCATGCCGCTCTAGAGAAAGTGCTGCATGTGCTGTTACTTCCTACTGATTTTGGGAAAAAAATATATATAGACCAAGAACTCCCATATAGCCTTAACAGACTTTGGACAATTACTGTTAGCGACCACCTATTAAGGACGACACGGTACACGAAGGGGTGGGTGGCCAACACCACGCTCGGCCGTCTTTGTCTTCCCGGTGGAGATGTTTACACACCACACTGGGTACTCATTTGAGGGTGAGTCGACCTAGGAGAGGCCCTGGAGCGGTTCAGTAAATCGTCACTGGTGTTGGTTGTGAGTGGGAATCGAACTCGGGTCGCCAGGTTCGTAGCACAGCATGCGAACCGCTGCGCGACCGCTCCCCCCATATATGTATATGCACACGCACGCATCAATCCGCTGCTGGATGAAGTCTTCCCCAAGCCAGAGCAGGTTGTGAGGGTGAATTGGCCGTATGTCAACATGCTGGTCAGTGTGGGTTGGTGAAGGTTGGGAACATTAATGTGGAAGCATAGAAGTCCAGTACAATAATGGATGTTCCTGCACTGTCCTCTACTGCACCTCACGTAGCCCCCCCACAAGCCCAGTGACATGACCTGTTTGTGCACGTCAGTCACCCAATCAAGCACCATCCATGCTCACACTTGCTTCGCTTTCTAGCTCTGACTTGGGACTCATTCCGGGTGGTGTGGTCAAAGGCCACAACGCTGTAGTGCAACGCGTTGCCGTAATTGGTATCGGCCTTCGAGCACTGTGGAAGCTGGAGTGCTCTGCTCAAAAGTTGAAAGGTCTTCGTTTCATATCCTCGGTCGTGGGTTGTCTCGGGCCCGCATTCCTCTGGGGTCAGTAAAATGTGTTCCACTGTAGGAAGTCGTCAGTGGTGGCTGTTCTGTGGAGTGACAGTTCGCTGGGTCAGAGTTGTGTGCGGAGATGAGCGCTGTACCACCGCATACATTTGAGTGTGGAAATCATTTAACGTGATGACCTTGTTGCGAATAGAGAGGTCAAAATGTTTGAAAAATCAGATGTCAAAAAACCTGTACTGACGTAATGGGTCACGAGAAAATGAGATTATTTTGGATAATGTAAAACAACGGTATTATCAACAGCAAACTCCTAGCATTTACATACACTGTAGAGGCTGTCACTTGCCTGGTATGTAGAAGCACTTCATGGCAAAATAATGATGTTCAAGTAAAATTAATTGCTGGGTCAAGTGAGCAATTGACCATGTTAATCTCAACTGGCAGTCCTGTATCATTGGTGGAACGTTTGTGGTGTCCCATATCTTAATAGGATAAAACTAAATGTGGGACTCATTTGGGCTGAGTCAACCCCCAACCGGAATTTGAACGTTTGACCTTCCAGTTTAGTGCTTTAACACTATCATTCGCCATATGCGTTTCAAGTTAGGTGGTAATTGCGGTGTTTTTAACACAATGTTATGACTCTTTATTGTACCTTGTTCAACAACACCTTCCTCTTACCTTCTCTGTGTGTCTGTTATGAAGTGCCATAGCCTGAAGCACTGTTTTATTATTTCTCATTTGCAA